CTTTTAACTACAGTGTCGTATTTATTCACTTCTAATTAAGCCTTTTAATCTTCTCTCTTATGAGGTGCGCTGCTCACATCTTAAAGCCCACAGGAAGAAAGGGATGGAGAACCCTAAAGACGTGCTTCCCTTCCTCACTCACGAGACACTGGTACTTAGACATCTGATAAGGATCTAGTAATTTCCATGTTTCCGTTTTTACTTCAGTCAGAGTAGTGTTCTGTTGGCAGCAACACTAGCTATATGATACACTTGAAATAAAGTGAGATGGCCTGCATCCTATGTAATTTTAAAAAAAAATTGATACACATGGATGAAAGGGCTGTAGTCACCTTTTTACTCAAGAAAAATGATTCATTTTGTGTTGGTTTATATATTTGGATTCAGTGTGGGTAACTCAATCTGATCATCATCATCATCATCATCATCATCATCATCATCTCATTTTGTCATAGGATTTGTGGCTGTGTGGCCAGTTCGTCTTAAGGGATACTATTCTATTACACGAAAAAACATGTCTGTCAAACTATAGATCATGTCTGTTGTTAGATAGATAGAATGGCAGTACCGGAGGTCATGCAGGTATCCTACTGGACACTGAGCAGAAGTCACTCTGTTGAGAACAACATGATGTTCTGTACATAGTTTGTTTTTTTGTTTTCAAGCCTCACCTTGGCTGATTAAAGCCTCAGCTATAAAGAGTTTATAACCACCCAAAAAATGAACTTTTACATGCATCTGTGTACACTTCACCCAAGAGCAAGGCGACCCACTTCGATGAATGGAAAGCAGAGTCAGCATGGTGCTATTATTAAACCTCTAGGTAGAAGTGCAGTGATAGTATTGGAATAGGCAGTGATCCATCTCCCATGTACTTTTACTCAGGTCTACATTTGAAGCTGTGCTAGTATCAATACTTGTGATAAGTGACTTTCTCTTTGCATAAAATTTTGTTGGAATGCATTAAAACGTTTGTATGGGCAGCACCTTTGGTTTAGAAAAAGCCACAGCTCAGGGTTCTGTGTTACTGTCATGTTGTTTATAACCTATAAGGGAGCTTTCACTTTATTATCAGTCACCACTGCTTATATTTTTGAACACCGATGTCCATTCAGGAGTTTATAATTTGATGATTTTTTTCAATACAGGGCATCATTACTGATCTAACTGACCAGAGTATTGCAGGTACTTGAAATGGTTGTAGCATTGGCCCATGTATTTATAAGAGTATAAGTTTCTCCTGTGGGTCCTGAGTAGTTGCTATCTGTGCACCTCCACTCGTAAAACTCACATGCAGAAGAGGATCCTTTATCTTCAAGGTCATGTGGCCTGTTTTTTTACCCAAGAGAGACTGGGGGGTGGGGGTGGCGCTGTCAATGCTCTCCACCCCATTCTTCTCTTCTATCTACCTTCAACTCTCTGATATCTTCCAAGGCAACCTCCCCCATCCTCTAGGTCTTAAACAGTCAGACAAGCGTGCTATCATCTTCTCTCTCAGAAAATTAAGACCCCTTTAAAGTGGAAAATGGGATGTCTTCCTCTGCGTGAAGCACACACAGCCCCAAGGCCACGGTTTGATGTGCATCTTTGATGAAGTGGGAATTCTCCTGTGCACCCGCACAGCTGAGGACTGTGTTTTTGCAAATAGGCTGTCAGAGAGAGTGACTCTGATCTCTTTTTACTCTATTTCACTTTTTTTCTTCAAAGCACTGCCTTGTGAGACTTAAAAGGGCTTAATAAGCCACACCTTGCCAGTGCCAGAGGTATTCAGTTGTTTGTTTTTGTCTCCTAATCCCCTTCCTAACCCAGAATCAATCAAAGATTTTCATCATTAACATAATTACCTCCACCAAGGAGGTTATGTTTTCACCCAGATCTGTTTGTTGTTGGATTGTTTGTTTGTTTGTCAGCAGGTTTACACAAAAAGTACTGAATCAATACTCAATTTGCACTAAACTTAGTGGAGGGATGGAGCATGGGCTATGGAAGAACCCACTGAATGTTGGTGCTAATCTGGTCAAAGAGGTGGATCCATAAATCACTATCACTTTCCTAAACATTTTTTGACATTTTTGTCAATTTCTCAGGAAATAATGTTTGAATCTGGATGTAAAAAATCAGACACATTTATGGTGTTGAGAACTCTAACTTTGCACAATTTGGTGTGGATCCAGATGATAATCCAGATCTGACAAACATGATGAGTTTGGCCTTGGCAGTGGTATTTTTCTACTGAGTCCCATTCTGGTTGTAGATATGTGATCATTTTACTTTAATGTTCAGTCACTGCACACAGGACTTCCATCACTCTTGAAAATAATTCATCATTGTGGCATGGAATACTATAGGCAAGTAGTAGTCTGATTGTAAGCGGATTTACAGCCAAGCTGGTTTCAGGCAGTGAGACTCGATCCCACAGTGGAGCACACAAGGGGGTGGAGACTGTCTTACACATACACGCACACACACACCATTCTGTTCATCACTCACCCTCCCTGCTCTACCTCCTTCCCTTGCTCTGGTACATTCAGCTCTCTCTCTTGTTCTCCCTCCTCTCTCCCTACTCGTCTCTTCCCTCTGATTGGCTGACAGAGCAGCCAGCCAGCTTCCCCCTTCCCCCCAGCTTCCAGAAGAATCTACGTCACACATCAGAGAGTCCCAACTGTATAACGATCGCCTCCATAACTATTATTATACACTGTGGCAGAACCACAAAGTCCTCTGTTTTTAAGAGGAAATCACCTCTTAAAATCAGCAGGGAGAATTGGCCAGGAATGAATGTGTCCATCTGCTGCCCCTAATAGAGTAATAATGACGAGAGGATAATAGTAGATCACCCTGAATGAAGAAGAAGAAAGACAGAGGGGAGCACACGAAAGTGGGGTGGGGGTGGGGGTGGGTGGGGGCACAAGAAGGGAGAGGAAATGGAGCAGATGTAGAGAAATCCGATGAGAGGCGAGCTCCAGCTCTAGAGTGTCCCCCTGATTCGTGCAGGGAGAGGGAGACGCAGAGACAGATATGGGTGAAACTGGATCAGACTGTACAGTCAGTGGTTGTAGTCCAGAGGGGTTACGCCCCCACCCACACGCACACACACACACACACAGACACACTGACACACAGACACAAACACACCGAAAAATGCGGAAGAGAAGCAGCTGGATGTGATGTGTGAGCGAACATGTCTGTCCGTATTTACAAGGCTGTGCGAATGTATGTTCCAAGACACCATCCTGTCCTCTCCCCTCAGTGTGGGCCTCAGCATTACATAACTCTTTGTTTTTGTGTGTGTCGGGCTGGCCGCATGTGTGCGAGTTATTCATTGCTTCACTGCACACACTCGGGAATGGCAGCCAATGGCGAAGCACTGCTCCTTATAACTCATTTAGGCCACACAAAGATTTTGTCTTGTTCTTATTGTTCTGCGTGCCCACTCCCCCCCACCCCCCACCCCACATCCTTCCTTGTATTTAATACCACCCAAGCCAACTCAAAATGCCATTTTGGCTTAGTGTGCATTATGTTCGATCAGCTAATGTTTCGTTCTGTTCTTGTACAGATTGTGTAGGTTTTAAATGCATTTTTAACATTCTTCTTACATTCTAGTTTACCAGCTTATTATATTATGTAATGAAATGTACTGAGGCGATTATCCAGTGTGCTTTGTGTCCCATAATGCATCTCACCCAGCAACAGCTCTGTGACCCCAAGCTGATCATCCTGTTTGACTTAGTGGTGACCTCTAACCTCACACTTCCACATTCAGCCACAGTATATTAGCCTCCTGAGGACTTTACGCTTCACAGCTTTGGCTTCCTCTGTTTTTTTCCTCCATTGTTTACAAAGGAAATAAAGTGACGTTTCATGTTCATAGTGCCCAGATTTGAATGTCAAGTATGTTGGATATAATTAATATTTCTATAATAACAAAGTATCAAATAGAGCTGCATTGATTAACTAATAATCAATTAACCTTTTGGGGCATTTGCAGCTCCCCTCAGTTTCAACTTATTCAAATTGTATTGACTACGAGTGCCTCTCTTAAGTTTGGCTGAAATGTTGCAAAAAAGATAAGACAGAGAATCCAAACCAAACACACACCATGGGAAATGGATGGTCAGAGCTAAGGTGTGTGTGTGTGTGTGTGAGTGAGAGAGAGAGGGAGGGAGAGGGAGAGGGAGGAAGACTTGCACTCTGTTGCTAAGGGTAACTAAAGCTAGTGGGACATGAGCACTTGGCTTCAGCAGCCGCACAAGCAGTTAATATCTAACAACTATGGTAGAGCACTGAGAGGTGATCAATTCAGGGGGCATAACCTGCCTCAAATCATGAATAGCTTATGTTGATGGAGCTGAGCAATCTTTACAGCTCTGTCCTGCTTGAAACGATATCCTACAATAATCCAGCAGGCAGGTCTCAGTCCATTATCTGCTCCTTGACCATTTTATCATTTCTAATATGTGACCAGGCACCATGGCAGACTGTGAGCATTGTGTGTCTTGGCCATCCCTAAAGGCTGAAGGTTTACCACAGTACCACTCTGAGATTATTACAGTCCTTTGGTTCTCCAAAGAGCAGCCATGTGTTTAGACTGACCACTGCTTAGAATCAAGCCTCGGGCAGGCAGGAGAGACGGCGAATGTTGTGCATTTATAGCAATCTCCTCATTTGCCTTTCTGAATTTAACATTGTGGTTCTCATCCAAAAGTTACCATGGCTCTGAAAAGAAGCAGTGGAGGAAATGCTCAGCCATAGCAGTTTTCCAGAAAAAGACTTAAGCTGTACTGGTGATTGTTTTTTGTGTATGAGTACTAGTGCAGCAACTAATACAATTCAAATATTGAAATAGTTCAAAGAAAATGACAAATGCAACCAAACAAGCATCAAAAGTGCCATAGATCATTTTTTTGCCAAGTGACTTATTGACTCACCAATAATTAACAAGTCAGTCAATAATTGTTTTGGCACTGATGTGTGCTCAACAACTCTGCTTTTGCCTAATGCTCCTGTACCCCCACCCTCCATCCCTGCATTTCTTACTTGTCCCCCACCATCCTCCCACCTCCACAGTGCCCGACTCTGCCGAGCTCGACCCCACCCCTCCTCTTCCCCCCATCAACCCCAGTACCGTCCCATCTGTACTCCCAAGCAGTGGCAATGGCAAGCGCGCCCCCTCCGGAGGTCAGCCGCAGACAGCACAGCAGCCCCAGACTCTGCTCCAGCAGCGCTACCCACCCAGAGAGGTGCCCCCTCGCTTCCGCCAGCAGGAGCACAAGCAGCTGTTGAAGAGGGGCCAGCCTCTGCCCTCTGGGACCCTGCTTCTCACCACCACAGGACGTCCCTGCTCTACTGAACCTGCAGCAGCAGCTGTAGCGATACACTCCTCTCCCTCCTGCTCCTCTTCCTCCACAGGTCAGCCAAGACACTCTGTTGGCAAGTCGCTATCTCTTATTCCCTTCTTTCTTTTTACAAGTTCAATCAAAAGGTGTTGGTTAGTATCGGTTGATAGCAGATTTGGCAATTGGGGTTGCTCTAGTACAGTTGAAGGTTGTCATGGATTACATGGAAACATATCTAGTACAGAAATGACCTGACATGGATTAGATATGTGACTACCTTTTCTGAGATTGGTGAGTGGAATTCAGTAGCAAATACACTGAACATGAACATTAATCTTGTATGTTCTGTTAACTCACACTATACATTTTAATCAGTCTTTCCGCAGAGCAGCACCTATGCCTTTTATGTTTTGACTATAAGGGTCCGCTGACCAGCCACAACATTGCTGCTCACTATGAATGTAAACCCGCGAGACCCAGTCAGTTTTTTCAAGTGTCAATTCCAATTGAGTTTTTGTTCAAACAAGATGACATGACCTCAACAATGTTGGAAAAGAGAGAGAAAGGCAGAGTTACTTCGTGCGATTTTACTATGAATGGAAAGTAAGGAGAAAAAGAAAATAACATGGAGCCACAGATGGTTGCAAGATGCAGACAGTATGGTCTGTTCTGCAGTGAATTTCAGTTTTATATCACAGCAGTCTCAGACAAGTCTACGGTTTTAGTCACATCTAAAATACTTCTCCAGTAATGGTAACACCGGCTTAATACAGCTTATTACCGATTCTTTTGACAGCACTTGTGTGGAAAATCAGACCGTTTTAACTGTTCACACTGCAAGACCAAAATTTCTGACATGCCAGAAATCCAAACCGATGGTCTGAACGCCAGATCCTTGGTCGTTCAGGCAGTTAACAGACCCTCTTCGAATGCCACCTCAACCGATCTGGCAGAAATTCAGTCCAATTCTAAAATTAATCAGGGATGACCAATACAGGGTTAACATCAGGCTTAACCCACACAGTGTCTGCCTGGCTTTTGGCAGCGCCAATAAATGAAAATGTAAAAATAGTATTTGCAGTTACTAATTTAAATACACAGGGCACTCAGTGTAGGTCCCACTTACTTGTACATATTTGTACACATGATGTTGCCATTCTTATTTTGATAATGACAGCTGTTTGATTTACACCAGGAGTGGTTGTACATGTTGGCTCTGGCATTCTTGAACACCAATGGCTATGTCTACTCTAGTTTTTTTTTGTGTGGCTCTGTGGTTGTAACAGTATGTTGTGCCTGTAGAGTAGCGCAAAGGCACTTGCATCACAGGTGCTGCTGACTGTTGTTTATTTTCATTCTGCCTCTGCCTGGCTGGGAATTAGAAATGGGGATAGAGGAGAACAGGGGTAGAGGATGTAGAGTAAACACAGCTGGCTATCTCTGTATGTGTGTGTATTTTCCTTCCTGGAGCTCTGTATGTCACAATAAACCAGGTTCTCATATATTTCCAAGTGGTAAACGCCTGTTGTTTCATAATAAAGTATCATCTGCTCTTTGATGATGATGATTAAAATTCTTTTTAAGGCATTTGGCACTTTTCATTGTCTGGGAAGGAAAACAAATTTCACCAGAAGTGTATGTCTGAGCATCATCCAACCTTTCTGATGCTGTTTGAATGCAGCTCTATCTCCATAGCGATGAGATGTTTATCCTGTCTTCATCTCCTCCTCCTCCTCCTCCTCCTTCTCCCCCCTCCTCTCATCATCATCCTCCTACTCTTCGTTAAACTTTGCAGACCAGCCCTACAGTATTTCCTGTTTTTTGGAGGAGGAGCGATATGGAGCTAGCTAGTTGGCTGGGCACCTCAGTGGGCCTGACCTGGAACTGATAGAAAGAGAGTGAGAAGGAAAGAAAGAAAGGAGGAGAGAGCGAGGATGGCAGAGGTCCAGTACTGTGGGCTGAAGTGACTCATGGCTTACGGTAAAAGCTGCTGCTTCTCTCCGCCCCTCTTTGGCAGGCCTGCTCTGCTTGGCTTTGCTTTCTGTGCGTCTTTGAACTTACTGATTATATTAAGACAAACAGACAGCAGGACCTTCCAGACAAAGTCAGATAGGAGTACAGTGGGAGGGTTTCATAATACACCTATAAAGATATTGCATGCAAAAAAACTGTAACATTAAAAAAAAAAACATTCAAGGAAACTCAGGAGCCTCCCCCTAAAAATTCTTTATGTGCCTCTTTAACCATCTAATGTCTCAGTTTAAAAACCTCACAGCTTAGTTTCACCACACCACAGGTAATCCCACCTCCATCGCTCTCTCCGTGCAGCCTTGTCTGCTAATAGAATCGTCCCCCTGCCTGCTTTCATTTCGTGACGATAGCTAACGGTAGAAGCACACTAGCTGCATTCATTTGCTCCCCTCTCCCTCTTCTCTCCATCCACTGACTCCACCTCGTCTCACTCCGTCTCTCATTACCCGGTCACATGTCAGCTCTCTTGAAAAGCAGGGCTGTTAAATTGTGGCCTGTGTGTCCATATGAATGCATGTGCATCTATGTAAACACAAACATTCTCTTCCTCTGCAGTCTTAGCTGTATATGTCCTTGGTCAACTTGACACATGCAGTATTACTCTGCTCTAAAGGCAAGCAGCAGCAACCATTTGTGTGTCATAGGGAAAAAGACATAGGGAAATCCCATTTTAAGCAAAACGTTGTTTGTCAAATTAAGTGCATTTATTGGTCTTTGTGTGGCAATAATGTACTCAGCAATCCCGATCTGTTTTGATTGTAAATTAATCAAATAATTAGTTTGTAGTCCTATAATGTGTTGATGATATCACTCAAGATTTACAGCTACTCCCACTGGTATTTGTCCAACACCCCCCTGTTAAAGCCCATAAAGTGATAATCAAGGTTTTATGTACCAGTAAGCATTGTACTTGCTAAGCACAACAGAGGCCAACACCAACAAAAAACATCTTAATGTAAACAGGCCTTGTCAAGTGGAAGAACAGTGCAGCTAATGTGCTAATAGGTTGTCTCGTGGAGAACAGAGAGAGAGAGTATGCAGGCTAGACTTGATGTGCTCTTTAAGTCTGCTGCTGATGCTGTAAAAGAGCCTTGGGAATCCCCTCCGAGAGGACTGGGACATCTTGTGATGTGATTAAACATCAGCTCTCTGTTAACCACAAATGTTCAGCGCTCGCTCTCTCTTTTTTTCTATCTCGCCTCTCTTGCTCTGTGCATCTGCAGCACTGACTTTCTCTGCCATGCTTGTTGTTCTCTGATGCACATGTGTTCACCTCCTCCACCTCCGCTATACCAACACTACAGTTCACACATACCCTCACTGGCCCCAGGGCAGCCAAGATTATTCAGGCTGCACATACTATATGTATGTGTATCAATCGTCCCATTATTATAGCCCTCTCCCAGTGTTGCCTTTTGCTTGGCCAACAATCCATATCCCAAGGCCCTTTCATGTGGAGGAGGCGTGAGAGAGCCAGCTATTTTAAGACTGGCATGCTGGAGAAAGCCCTTGACCTGGTTTATCCTTTAGAAGAGGAGGAGAAAGAGGATACTCGCAAGCAAACATGACGGCCGGATGTCTTAGATGTGTACCTTTTTTAAAAGCCATGTTTTGTCCCTCTGTTAGTCTTTTCCCCTTGAGATATTGTTGAGATAATAACATTGCATGAACAGCAAAGCAGCTGCAAAGAAAGCATCCGTACGGAACACAATTTCTTGCATATATTTATGTACAGTCCCTATCATTCCTGTTTTGTTTTTCTTACCAGATGAATATAGTCCACCAAACTTATCTGTGCCACTTAAGCATATTCCCAACAGTAGCAGTAACTGAAAGCTACTGAGTGTCATGTGTGTACTGGGTCTACACGAACTCTCCTAGTTATGCGTGTGGTTGATGGCAGCTGGCACTGTCTCGTGTTGCACTTTGTCATGTCATGAAATGCAGGCCAGTGTTGCAGGGCTGCCCTGACCTTGTCTCACTCAGACCCTTAAATCTCTGTGACACAAAAATCAGCTGGCTTTGTAGATCCAAACTCATGCTCACAGAGCAGAATATAGATCTAGTGAAATTTCAAAGTGGCTACAGGATTTTATCTTGTACCTAGTTGAATTATGGATGTTTATAAATGCCTGTTGTAGTAACCTTTTTATATACCAGCTGCCTGCTTGAATAAGACAAATTCGGTTCTACATAGAGGTTTGATATTACTCGATATTGGCCCTAATAATAATTTTATTATTAAAGCCAAGCTACTCGAACACAGGTATTATGTTAAAAACATTGTCGTTTATGCTAAAATACAACTAATAAATACTTTGATTATTAGTTCATGTGCTGATAATTTTCTCAATTAATTGATGAATTGTTTTATCTGTGAAAATTTAGTTAAAAATGGTAATTTTATTTCCAGAGCCCTTGTTTAATCTGACCAACAGTCATAAATACAATTTTCAACATTTTCAACATTCAACAAATTTTTAGTTTACTATCATATATGACAAAGAAAAGCATCAAATGTTTAACATATTTACTTGGGAAAAATGGCTGAAATTATTTATATATTACAAAAAAAAGTTGCTGATTAATTTTCTTTTTTGCCATTTTACCTTCATTTGATCATTGACGCCCTTTTATTAATTGATTAAGTGACACATTTGTTTCATTTCTAAACACATTTAGGTGACATCTGTGTTACACTTCCACTGTAATGTTATTACTGTGAAATAGTCAATTTAAAAACTGGTAGAACTAAAACCATCCTTCATTATAGAAAAATACATATCCAAAATGGACCCCACTGTATATGCAGTTTTGGCTGATGTGATCCTTGCTTGTTTGTGCTGCTCCTATGCAGTGATGTGCTGTTTAAGTGAAACAAATGAAAAACAATAGGGATGTGCAATCATTAAACACAGAGGAAGCTAATTCCTGATAGGTGTGTGTGTGTGTGTGTGTGTGTGTGTGTGTGTGTGTGTGTGTGTGTGTGTGTGTGTGTGTGTGGTGTGGTGGTGTGTGTGTGAGTGTTGGTGTGTGTGTGTGTGTGTGTGTGTGTGTGTGTGTGTGTGTGTGTGTGTGTGTGTGTGTGTTTGTGTGGTGTGTGTGTGTGTGTGTGTGTGTGCCCGTCAGAGAGCTCGTTCATCTGCCTGGCAGCATGCATTGTCAGCTCTGTACCATCCAGTCTCTCTGCCCCTCAGGGACTTCATTAAGCCAGGATCAGTCCAGCTGAGGCCCACACAGCTCTCCTACATTGCTTCTCCTTCCATCTCTCAACATCCATCTCTGTCTTTCATTTTCTGTCCTGACTTTCTTTGTACTTTCATCCCTCTTGGTCCCTCTTTACCTGGCCCTTGCACCCACCCATCCCCCACCCACTCAACCACCAGCACACACACACCCACCATACATGTTGTGCATACATACGTTTCTACCTGCTATGTAAATGAAAAATGTTGGGAGGCTGAAGGAAAGTGGGAAAGAAATCTTTGCCTGCAGATCTGAGCATCCAAGAAGTTTTTTTTCTGTTTTCAGTCTGTTTGTATCTGCACAGGAGATTCAGTGTTGTCATTGTGTGTATTTTAACACACGAAGGAGCTAGTGGCCATCTAGTAGCATGGCATGACCTCACCGCGTGTTAGGTCCTCATAGTGGAGAGGCACAGGGGGCTGAGCCTCAGCCATAAAGGGACTCTGTTCTCCACCAAACATTGACTTATTGTATTGTTGGGTGGGCACTGGGATCATTTGTAAACAATACCAGCCTTGATCCAGGCGACTGCTGCTCTTTTTTTTCGTTTGCCAAGCTGCCCTCTATCCTCCTCCCTCCATGCCTTCTATTAAGTCTAATGCCTGTCTTCCTCTGTAATCTCTCAAATTCAAAGTCTTCCCCCCTGTAGCTTCGGTGCCATGTTTGGGACCAGATCACCGACCCCTACTCATTCACTGTGACCAGATCCATATGAGCTTGCTCATTTCATGCCCTTGCCCTGTGTCCAATAAGCACTCACATGAAGAGAGAGTTTTCTGTCCAAAACTTGGTGCTGCTGCTTATGATTACTGCATTCCCAGCCTGTAGTTAGAGACAAACACAGACATATGTCATCATGTGTGATCTGATGATTTGACTGTTCATACATAAACACGTGCATGTCTGAGAAAATTGCCATTCCAGCACCAGGGGGGGTGCAGAAGGCTTTTGTGAGGTTTTGCTTTCTCTCTCTCGCCCGCCACTGCTATTCATGAGGCTTTCCATTGTGGGCGGCAGTACTAATTGCGGATGGAGTGGTCTTGGCTAAATATTTAGTGACAGTTTTGAAAGGTTGAAAGATGTGAGGATGGGGGGGGGATTAGTAGAGCCCCGCTTTTGTTTTGTTTTACCTCATGCCTCATGAGTGCATAATGAAAGTCTCCACACATTATCACTCAGCTGTTAACCAAGCCCTCCCCATCCTATCCCTTCCCCCAACTAGCCCTCTTTCGGTGCTTTTCCAGAGAGAGAGAATATCCTTCGTCGGGATAGGAATAGAGCATGATATAAATAAAGCCAGAGGGAGGCAATAGATAGAAGAGGAGAAACCCAGCCAAAGCAATGGTGGTGGGAGGGACAGAGCATGAGGGGTGAGGAAGGAAGGGAGGGGGGGTTGTCTCATGCCGCGCAAGAGCTGTGCAACTTCTTGGCAGCATTTCAGAAATGAGCCTCAGAAGCTTGGCGAGCCGAGCAGACATATTGAGACAAGGATGGTCGCTGCGTCGCACAAAACCTAGCTCTTTACAGGATGGTTGGGAGGCACCTCTCCACAGGTATTTCACACCCTCCTTTCTTCTTCAATCCCACTGTTTTTCTATCTTGTCTGCCTCTTCTGTGTTGTTTTGGCGGCTTGTATTTACACACCGTGTGGATGAGCACTTTTAAACATTAAAGCTGCAGCAACAGTGCATTGCAGGCATGCAATGTTGAGTTCTTATGTGTTGTGTTTATTATTGTCAGTGAGACATGCATGCTATTAAAGCAGCGATTGTGGAGGTACAGACGGCAGCTCAGAGCCTTTTTGGCTCTAGTTCAGGACTGAGAAAATGGCGGTCCTGCACTTCTCAGTAGAGTGACTACAGAACGACAGCGCTGTGTGTCAGAAACACAGTGCCCTCTTCCCCCCCCTTCTCTCACTGCCTCTTCTCTCTCTCTCTGTAGTTGCAAGCACTGAAAGGAAGCTTGAAAACAGGGAGGTACACAAATGCTGTCGCTTCTTCATGTAGTTGTGATACAGACTAAGCGTGCATGTGAAGGTACATGTAAACAACAGCTGCAGCAAGAATGACGGCAGAAATGGGCAATGTGGTGGTGCCAGGTTGATCAGTGCAGCAATCATGATCTGCAACTGGGCTTGCACTGTACCAAGATGATCCTTGTGCACACTTGAACTGCAGGGAGCTAGTGAGAAACCCAAAGCATTACTTTGAGTTGTCAGAACAGTTGTACAGGCAGATGGAGGCTGACATGTTGGTGAGAAGACAGGTCGCCCAGGGGTAGTGCAGAGTATTTGGGCTCGATGTCAAGCAGAGGTCATGACTGTAGTGGTTAGGAGGTCAGACGTTAAGGATGACTCAGCTACATGGTCCTTGTCATTGTTTGCATCCTATAATGTGGTTCCCAAATATGAAAGTTCTTGGGGTGACCTATTAGGAAGATACAGTGCTTCTCTATTAGGGCTTCTCATTTCATATGTGGCAAAAGTATGCATTGTTTAATGACAAGAAGATTTTTCATGTGGTTTTTCCATTTGGTTTATTGTAACCCTATTAGTAAAAATTATAATAATGTAACTTTTACTATTATCTAGTTTCGCATGCAACCAGAGTAAAATCCCAAGATTCTGTTTTCATTTTCAACTTTAATTTCTTATATCTCTAGAAAGAAATATAACAAAAATAGCAATCTCAGTTTGAATAATATCTGCAATGATGACTTTAAAATAGCTTGATGGATGTCTGTGTTTCCACTACATTGGTAAATAAAAAACATTTCATTTATTTTCAGTTTCAGAAATAATTGGTTTTGAGATTTCAGACTCAAATACAAGGCGAGAGCACTGTCCTCTGTAGCTCACTCAATGACCGCTTTATTTTGGTGGTAAATATGCTTAACATTGTATTGTAGTCTGTAGGTATAGTGTGAATATCTTCTCATCTTATCTTAGTGGACAGCATTAGTTCTGTCTTAAGTCATAGTATCTTTGAAATCTACGTGTGACCTATGAAAATGTGTATTTCCTTTTTTTTTTTTTTTTTTTTTTTTTTGCTGTTTTCTCTTATGAACTACAGACAGTGTCCGGTGATTCAGGTCCACACACTGCCCTTTCACCTATGTAGCACACAACAGGAGATTTGCTGTGTCTGATGCATTTTCACCTACTGGAAATACTCTTTTTGGTGTAGGCGAAGGATGGTACAGGAGGCGTCCTGCCTCGATCGGACATTACAGGGACTCTGTACTAGGGAGTTGGCACGGTAAAGTCTGTTTAGTGTCTGGTCCTACTGTTTGCGTTCACAAATATAGCTACTCCAGGGAATGTCTAGATAAGCTCAGGGATGCAGTGCATGTGTGAAAGCAGTTTTTGAATAAAGTGCATAAATATTGTATTTATTTTCTAATTAAAGCTCCCTCTGTTATCATATTAGTCATTCTCCTCTCTGTGTTTGCACTTTCAGTGTGGGTGGTTTATTTTCATTAATAAAGCATCCTGTGAAGTCTCTGTACAAATAAGTAGACACCTTATGTGTTGCCATGGTATTTCAACCTTACTAAGCATATGTGGGAGTGATGACGTACATGACTTATACCTCTCTTCACTCATCCTTTTGCTCATGTTCATATCCTATTCCTTCTCTTTCTCACGCAGAACTGCCCCCACAGAGCGGCCAGGGAGCCCAGTATGATAATCCCCTCTGGGGACACCTGCCAGCCAACAGGAGTACCACAAGTGCTGCATCTTCCACCAATCTCAGTGGTTGGGATCAACTGATCATTGACCAGAAGGATACAGAGGCTTGGCCCTCTATTACCCTCAGCCAGAGCCAGGCCCCTCCAGGAGGATGCCCTTTGGATACTGACCCTGGTCGCTTGACCAGCAGCAGCAGCAGTACTAGTAGTAGTTGCAGTACAGTGAGTATGGCCACGGGGGCCAATAGCCAGACAGGCCACTTTCCTGCCAACCACCTTAGCAGCAAGGCCAACAGTGGGCCCAGCCCTGCCAATCATACTGGAACCAACATGCTCTCTAGCCAGGTTGCAGCCAATCGCAGCTGGGGCTCTGGGCCTGGACCCTCCCATTGCCCCCCTCAGTCCTCGGTGGGGAATGAAGGAAAGAGTGACAGTCCAGTGGGGGGAGCAGGCGGCAGGGGCTGGGGCTCTTCTTCATCATCCTCAACCACCAACTTTAACTTGAACCTAAACCCTAATGCCAACCCATCTGCTTGGCCCATGCTGGGGCATGATGGGGGTGGCACAGGGGGAGGCAGCTCAGGGGGAGCCAACACCATTTCACCTCCTCAACCTACACCCAACCTCTGTAATCCACCTGGCCCCCCATCAGCCCAGACCAGCACCTGTACCGGAGCCAACACTAACAGCAACTCCTCGGGGATTGGCAGCGCCTGGGGTAGTATAATGACTTCTGACATGTCAGAAGCGCACCCCTCCCCGTCCACGAATGTGTCTTTCAGTTCAGAACCTCAGAACCTTAAAACTGATGGACCAAATCACACTAATAAGCAGGAACCTCCCAGCCCCATCCGCAGCTTGCCTGGCTGGGGTAGTGCATCTGTAGGCTTGGGTTCCATGGGTCAACCCCCACCAGGGGTCCCACAGGTCAATGGAGAAGATAGTAGCTCAGTATGGGGTCACAGTGGAGACTCTAAGGCACCTTCATCTAAGGAGGCATCTGGCTGGGATTCTGGCTGGAGCCATGGAGGAGCTGGAGCAGGAAACTCTGGAGGTTGGGGTGACCAGTCTGGTGGAGACTGGGGGAAACAGCACACTGAAGAGGCCCAGGGAGGATGGGATGCCCCAAGCTCCCCTCCCCAGGATCCACAGGCTGGTCCTTGGGGCAGAGCTGTGAGCACAGCTGCTGCCAGTGAAGGCAGCAGTGACAGCATGGAAGGACATAACCAACGCAGAGACCGCTCATCCAGAGATAATCCAGCTCCTCTGCTGCCTGCCCAGGATCTGGACCCCAGAGTGCTGTGTAACACTGGCTGGGGACAGACCCCCGTTCGCCAGCACACCTCCTGGGATATGGATGATACTAAACGTAAGAATGATGTAGGCACTGAAACATGGGGCTCTGGCCCAACCACACCAAGCGATGCCCAGGGGCCCTCCAAAACAAACATTGGCCCCACTCAGAGGACTGACTCTGGGAGTAAAAATGATGTGCCTGGTTCTCAGGGAGCTTCAGGTTGGGGTGGAAGCGTAGCAGCTACCAACCAGCCCAGCTCTGGTTGGGGAGAGCCACCCAACAACATTAAGCCCCCAGGTGGCCCTGGTGGATGGGGGAACCATCCAACAGGAGGCCCCACCACCAGTGTACCCAAGAATGGTAGTCAAACCTGGGGAGAAGAGAAGTCGAGTGGGTGGGACGATTCTCACATCAAGACAACATCCCAGGGCTGGGGAGAGCAACCCAAAGCATCCCACGGCTGGGGCAATAGCGGAGCGAGCAAAAACGCAGGGGACTGGGGAGAACCAGAGGAGAGCAAAAAGAGTCCCACTAACCCTGCCTGGGAGGGAGAGGCAGGGGGCTGGAAGGAAAAACCACGAGGCTGGGGAATGCCTGCTTCAGCACCTGGTATATCTGGACCTGGAGGAAATGGTGGCTGGGGAGAGCAAGTTTCCCAGCGTCCCAGTGGCCCACCTCAAGGGTGGGGGGGCAAGCCTCAGGATGGGCCCAGTTGTAGTGGTGGAGCAGGGGGCATAGGCTCTTGGGGTGGCTCAGGCTCAGTGAAGCAAGGTGGAAGTTGGGGTGGCAGTAAGCAGGAGTCCTCAGCTGAGCCTACAGGCTGGGAAGAGCCCTCTCCACCTTCAATCCGACGTAAGATGGAGATAGATGATGGAACCTCAGCTTGGGGTGACCCTGGTTCCTACAACAAGGCAGTCAACCTGTGGGACAGGAACAATCCAGGAATGTCCCAGGCTAAAGTTACCACTGGAGGCAATAATCCCCCAGGCCCCAACAACAACCATCCCCACTCTCACAATCACCCCTATCATGGGCCGCCTGCACCTTTACAGAACCACAGCCAAAACTCCCAAAACCCAGGGCCCACCAGTGGGCCCATGGATCCTGTTGTGCAACACCAGCCAGGGCCATCTCACAACAGGGGCCCCCTGATAGCCCAAGGTAAGACAACATAATGCTCTGATATTGTAATGTGTAATAAAGCCACATGCCAATTCCAGTTTCATTGGCTTATAGTGTACAAAGAAATTACAATGCCAATATTCACATTTTAAACATGGTTAATGTTCAGATTGTCAAAATGTAACTCAGTTTTAATTATATTAGTTAAATTTTTAGCTGTTTCTCTTTTGTTTTTCAACAAGTAAAGGTGTCAAATATGAAAGCTGGTTAGGTTGTTAGCACCGTGCACTGTTAAGCTCCAAGCTGTTGATCCACTTAAAGGTAAAATCTTGACCTAGTTTGCCCTCTTTGGATTTACATCTAATCGACTATCCAAATGAGTTGAGCAGTGCCAGCCCTGTCCTTCCATGAGGCTCCTCACATTTCACAACACCAGGCGCGTCTGTGTGGGTCACCCTGGAAACCTCACATGGGTACCCAAAGGAAGCACAAGAATGCTGTTTACAAAGTGCCTCGTGAAAATAGCGATTCACCACAAGCAGTTTGAGAAGGATCGGAAATGTGTGATTATATGGGAGCCACCATCTGTCAGTAGTTGAAGGGAGGAGGTGGAGCAAGCCCCCAAGAAGTGAGAGGGTTCAGACGCCCCCTGCTGTCCCTCACCTGACCCTGCATGCTGACTCCACATTGACATTTGCTGGCTGTTGTACATGAAGTGGGTTAAAACAAATAAGGATAAGGTAGAAAGTGGTAAAAAAAAAAACAAAAAAAAAAACAAGGACCTTATGAAGTTTGTCCCGATACTCCATGTTTAGATCAGTACTTATCAGTACTCTGTCATACAAGAAGGTTGAATTTTATGATATAATTTTGGAGCAGCCTTTAGGACTTGACCTCTCCCTGGAGAGAGAGCTAAGCTGAGCCTGGCACCACAGCAGGCCCAGAGACAGCACTGTCTCTCTCTTGCCAAAAGAGACCAGGCTGCGCCAAATCTTAAATGGGCATCTCCTCCCTCTGTCAGCCATCCTGCTAAGCCAAGCCCAGGTCTCTGTGTCCCTGCACGACTGGCATTTCACACTCCAAAACAGAAGGATAAATGTGGTGACAGTGATTACCAGAGGCACAGTTAGACTTGAACCTCAGTTTACGTCAACAAATAAGAACCAACTAATCAGACGTGAGATAGCCTGAGTGTCTACAAGTTAGTGACTTATTTAGCAAAAATCACAGTAAGGGAGACTCTCTTTCTGAAATTAATTTTAAATTAAAGTGAGCATCAGCATCAAACACCCTTAAGGACAAATTTTGCTAACATGAGCCAGCACAAACAGCTTGACCCAATGATTCATACTTTGCCATTTAGATTTGCATAGCTAGTAAGTTCAACACACAACTTACGAAGCACTATAACATCAGAATGTGAAATGGTATGTGGAAATGTGTCAGTTTTCCTGATATTTCTAGTAAATGTAGTCAATAAACATTTGAAAAAATAGCCAGATTTGTTTCGCTTACTGTAAGTTATCTGATTATTTTATGTTTTCATAATATTGCTTCTGCCTTCTTATGAGAAAATGAGTGACATGAGACACAATGCCAGAAATCAAATAAACTTATGATTGTATTCCAAAGCATCAAAATCATGAGTTTTTTTTTTTTTTTTTTTTAAGATATTGGTTTATGTACAATAAAGTTTTTTTTTAACAGGCCATTTTTCTTGTGTGTCCTCAAGGTTGGGGAGACTTACCCAGCTCCCACACAAAATCAGAGAGCTCTTGGGGGGAACCTGCACCCTCTCCGGTCAGTGTGGATAATGGGACATCTGCCTGGGGCAAACCAAGTGGGAGCTGTGGAGGCTGGGGAGACGGTAACCCGGACAGCTATGGCAGAGGCAACCCGACGATGACAACTGCATCCTGCAAACCTGGTAAAAAGCTTAACCCTATGTTTATGTTATGAGTTAGTCTTTACCAAGTGTGTGTACCTTTGAGGAGTAATGACAATACATGGGTGCTCCATTGATGAAAAAAATTCAATAATTCTCTCCTGACAAGTCAAGTCAAGGACATCAATATGGCACAAGGAAAGTGCTGGAGATTTCACACAGAAATCCACACTGACCCCTAGTGGCTGTCTCATATTTCAGAGTTAAATTTTTTTTGTTGCTTTCATTTTCTTTCCTCAAAGAGTCCTTAAGGTTATGTTTTAAAACTGAAAGTATTTTTATTCTTGTATTTAAAAACTGAAAGTTTTTTAAAAAAATCAGACAAGAGGACAACCACCTGCTTGATACCTAACTTGAAATTGAACCAGTTAGATGCAAATTGACAGTGACATTTAAAGGGTAACTTTTTCCAAAATAAAACCTCTAATACAGTTGAGGTTCTATTACTGTTATATGGTGTTAGTTTACTAGTAGTTAGTTTATTAGAAGCATGTACTTTAAACATTTATTTTAATAAATAGCATCATCATTTATTACATAAGATATGTGTCAAATTAAATCTACGTATTTGTCCTTTAACACTGCTTGGTGTACATCTTCTCTTGTGTGTTTTTCAGCCCCCAAACCTATGCAAGACGGATGGGGAGGTGGAGGTGAGGAGCTGAGCCAGTGGGATGCTGAGGAGGGAGACATGTGGAACAGCACTGCCTCCCAAGAGAGCAACTCCTCCTGTAACTCTTGGGGCAATGCATCTAAAAAGGGCCCACAGAAGGTATGTGAAGCAGGGCGAATTACACATTGAGTGGTCCTTGGCAAACAATTTGATATTGCATTTTCATAATGAAATATTATTGAGTTACTGTGGTCGTAATGAATTTCCATCACCATATCCCCCAGGGGAAGGTCCCAGGGAAGCAGGAAGATGCCTGGATGATGAATCGTCTCATCAAACAGCTGACAGACATGGGCTTCCCTGTGAGTTGAATTGACACTACACTGCTGCACTGCTGTCAATCAATTCTTGGAACAAACACTTGGATTTTTTTTTATTAATCACTGAACCTTTCTGGTTTGTTCTGTAGAGGGATCCAGCAGAGGAGGCTCTGAAGAGCAACAACATGAACTTGGACCAGGCCATGAGTGCCCTGCTGGAGAAGAAGACAGAGCTGGACAAGCGGGGGATGGGGATAGCCGGCCACGACTACAACAACGGGCTCATCAACAAGCCCATGAGCTGCCCTCGGCCTCCGCTTCTTTCCAAAGACCCCTCAGCAGACCCCCGCTTGCCCTTCATGGATAAGGTGAGCCAGTCACTTATCAATTTACATAAAAACATACTGTGCATGAAATAGTTTTGAATTTTGATGCTGGATAGCAGCATATGAGGTGTTATTGAATGGACTCCTGGGGAACATTATTTGATAAAGAGTGGCTCCATGTTAAATGTAAGGTAGTACGTTGTAGCAATATACCACCAATCTAATGAGACACCCTAAGTTTTTCCCATCTTCCCAAATTATCTTTACAATTTTGTTGTCTAGGAAAGGAGTGTTTGTTGAAAATGGCAGAATGTCTAAACCTTTATTCCACCCCCTGCCCCTCTGCACATTGCAAAATGGTTTTGGGTGTCATATATTTTATTATAATTGCATTAGATCACTAACATTCATTTTGAAATACCCATAATCTAAACTGGTCCATTGCAACTTCAATTAAAAATATTTAAGACATTTCAAAGTCGTGAATGTAGATAATTGATTTAGAGACTTTTTAAGGACTTGCGGGAACTCTGTGGCCTTGTCAAAACCACTGTGGTGAAACCGATGCAAGGAAACTGAATCATCACACAACCACTTCTTGTGATCAATCTAGCCAGTGTTTTACTGAGGCAGAAGTTGACTGGCTCTTTCTTTCCACTCTTCCTTTGTCTAGCAGATGCAGAGTGGAATGTTTGGCGGTGGTGGAGCAGCACAAGCCCGGACCATGCAGCAGCCGCAGCCGCCTCCTCAGCCGCCAGTGCCGCCTCTCAGCTCCTCTCAGCCTAGTCTACGTGCTCAAGTGCCTCAGTTTCTCTCCCCTCAGGTATACACACACAAGCACACACATTCAGACACACACATGTGACCTCATTTTTTACTTAATGTATAAACAGATAAGTAGGCAAAGAGTTTTAATGTATGCAGTGATAAATATTCCACATTCAGATCACAGTCTTTAAAAACTTCTCTGATAACAAGTTCCCATTTATTATGTATCAGTTTAAGTCTCTTTGAACTTTATACACCAATCACAAACACATGTTTTCCTTTACATTTTAATTTTGTTAAAACCTTGTGTTTTTAATGTTGGCCCACAGGTTCAAGCACAGCTCTTACAGTTTGCAGCAAAAAACATTGGTCTGAATCCTGCACTTTTAACCTCACCAATAAACCCTCAACATATGACCCTTCTGAATCAACTTTACCAGCTGCAACTGGTGAGTCTTATTAGACTGAACAGTTATAATTTCTTGGAGTGGAGTGTACATGGTACATATCTTTGACCACAAACCCACAAAGAGCCCTGAATGCATTAAGAGCATTTTTAATAGAACTGTAATTTTTACTTTCATGTTTTCAGTACGTGTGCCATTGTTATTATTTTATTCTTTAGGATACTATTGAGTTATAACTGGGGGTACGGACACACTGACATCTTTTTACATTGAAACCGAGCTTATTTCTGATCCACAGGCATACCAGCGTTTACAAATTCAGCAGCAGATGTTGCAGGCGCAGCGCAATGTTTCTGGCCCCATTCGACAACAAGAGCAGCAAGTAAGTTTCCCTCTTAACGTTCAGTTTTCTTTCTTGATCACCGAAATATAACAATGGTATAAAAACAGTTTATTTCAGTTGTTTGAAGCAACACCTGCAAAGTATAGATCCTAAACTTGTCTCCATTGTGATGTCATCCCAGGTTGCACGTACAATCAATAACATGCAGCAGCAGATCCAACAGCACCAGCGTCAGCTGGCCCAGGCCCTGCTGATGAAGCAGCAGCAACAGCAGCCACCTCCCTCCCACTCGGGCTTGCATCCTGGTGGGGCCAAATCCACCCTGGATTCATTTCCAGGTCACCCCCATGCTCCAGGCCTCCCTGACCTGCAGACCAAAGAGCCGCAGTCATCTCCTAACACCTACAGCCACTACTCTCTCTGTGAGTAGCGTCAACCTTGCTCTTTGAATGACAAATAGATAATGCTGCACTGCTAGTTGTGGTCATGTGTAGTAACATCTCACTGTTGTGTCATTCTCTTCAGCTGGACTGAATCCAAACATGAATGTAAACTGCATGGAGGTGGGAGGTCTGTCTATGAAGGAACCTCCTCAGCCCCAATCGCGCCTATCACAGTGGACGCACCCAAACTCCATTGAAAGCCTCTCTGGTAGCTCCTCTCCTCTAGAGCCCAGCCTGGGCAAGCATGGTGAGAAAGGAAAGGGAATCCTGGGTAATTAAAGATTACATGTTTCATTCTGATGTCAAGTTTGTATTTATAATAACAGGCTCTTTATCCTAATAAACCAAAATAACACCATATTTTTTTAAATAATATACTGTATATATATTTCTTCATAATAAGAAGAATATCAAACTGTTGGATGGAAATAGTGTGAACAAACAAAGCAAGTTTAACATATACACTGTCTTTATTTTTTCAATGGAGAAAAAAATCCAAAATATTTCTCACATTAATTTATATTTTATATATATATATGTATTATCTCTTAATTATTTGTTTGCCTTTCTCAGGTTCCAATTTGGGCCCCCCTGGTAAGCCCCCTCAGCTGGAGGACTCTTACAGTCCCTACAACCTGATGTCCAGCTCAGAGTCTCCTACCAGCCCCCTGGTCCCCCCAGACAGCTGGGGACAGGGCAAGAGCAGCAGTGACAAGATGGCCAATGGGACCAATATCAACTGGCCACCAGGTTAGATGACTGTCAACCTTTTTGTTTCATCTAGTTAGCCATGTTGGCAGCTACTTGTGCAGTAATTTCTTCAGCTGTGTTCCTTACTCCCAGTCAATAACAGTATTATTGTTTTGATTAGTCAGAAATAGCAAAACATCAAAGTAAACACGAAGTTGAAAACAAAAGTCAAAGAATAACCACAATGCAGCAAATCAGGATACTGGCAAAACTTTGCGCTGTGAAACATTTTGCATCACATTTCCATTCCTAGAAAATGGGTTATAATGACACATAATTACATCCTGATTGTAATACAAAAACATTTGCCAACCTTTTAATTTTGATTCCCAGAGTTCTGCCCTGGTGTGCCCTGGAAGGGCCTCCAGAATATCGACCCTGAGACTGACCCCAACGTGACCCCCGGCAGTGTCCCTAGTGGGCCCACCATCAACACCAACATCCAAGATGTCAACCGCTACCTGCTGCGGGACAGGAGTGGAGGTGAGAACAGGATCAATATGATTTAGAGAATTAAGTGTCTTTGATAGTGTTCTTTGTAAGATTGTAAGTTTTTTTGTATTGGTCCATGTCACAGTACAGCAAAATGAAGTATGTCCAAACAAAGTTTTGGAAATATTTTTCACTCACAATTTTCTAAAGAAGTTTAATAAAAGAAACTGTGTCCCTGTGTATCCCAATTCCACTAAAATTGTCTGAGAGTATCGTGCATCAGCTGCCACCAGGGAGAGCCTGCTTCTTATTCTTTTGTTCTTCATTTTCCTACTTTTAACTACCTCTATAATCACTTGTCATTTACCAGTTTATACTTTTCTCTTCTTAATGAGCTTACTATCATCATTTGTTCTGCATTTTTCCTTTACTCCATTTTCTCTCTCTGCTATTTTTTTCTTATTTGTTTGTGTCTGTCTATTTGTTTGTGTTGCTGGCATCGGCTTAGGCTCCTCTCCCACCTCATCTCAGAACGAGGCTCTGCCTCCCTCCACTGATTGGCCAGTCAGTGCCTACACTAGCTCATTCAGTCTGTCATCCCCGGAGACAGACGATGCAGGTACATGGTTTATCCATAAACCCCACCCCACCCCACATTGCAGTGGCTCAATCGCTGCAAATCAACATTATCCTCTTCCTCCTGTTACCGTAACACCCAGAGTTTCAACCATTCACTGGAGAACCACCTCTCTTTCATTCACGTCACTGCTCCTGATTAAATATGACCTTCATCTGAGATCTCTCCCTGTCAACTTTGCCTCTCATGCAGTGCATATTTCCTCCGTGGTGTTACTGTTTCTCCTTCTTTCTTGTGTGTGGCATGAGAAGTGTGAGACAGAAGAGGGTGTAGCCCCCTGTTTTTTCTTGATGTACTGTAACTGTTGGATCTGTTTGAGTGAAGTAAAGTCTGTTGTTGTCGAACTATTTTGAAGAACAGTAAAAACTTGTTAAATGTTTAGTTATGTCATAACTATGCAGTGAAAGGGATTTATTTATCATTGCTGTATTTACATTTAACTTTGTTCTTTTTTATACAACTTTGGTCAAAAATTCTATTGAGATATTTGAGCACTCATTTTGCTCTGCAGGACTCCCTCCTTTGGGAGCAGCTGTGTTTCGGTCACTTGGTTCTGCAGGCCAACATTTCCCTCCATCTTTTCCATCCAGGTAAACTGTCAGAGATGAAATCTACTTGGTCTCCAGGCCCCATTTCTCACAGCCAGGCCTCTCTGTCCCACGAGCTGTGGAAGGTCCCCCAGGGCCCCCGGAGCAGCACCACAGCCCCTTCCCGCCCCCCACCTGGCCTCACCAACACCAAGCCTTCCTCCACCTGGGGGGGCAACTCCCTGGGTCTGGCCCAGGGCTGGAGCAGCTCTTACACCTCAGGTGTGTCTTGTTGCGAAATCTTTAGAGAGCCACACACTGAGATATTTATGCTTCCCTCCTTAATTGCTTCATCTGCAACAGTGATCTTCAGCAGCTGATAGGGACCAATCTTATAATTAAAACAGGCACATTATTAATCTAAGAATCTAACTATGCTCCATCATCAAAGGTACTTTTGAACCTTTTCACAAACTTTTTGTATGTAGATAAAGAAGATAACAAAAGTAGTCAGGTCAATTGTCATTTTTGTCGAAATCCCAGATTAATTAATTTTATTATTATCTCTTATTATCACAAGAAATAGCTTCAAACAACCTAGGTGAGCGGAAAAAAATCAATAAGAGCCATATGCTCTGAATTGGGAGTGCCTATAATAATTATAATATTTCCATAATAATTCTTGTAGTAGTGAGTGAATAGATTTAACATTTTTTTCAGCGGTCTGAAAGTCAGATAGATGTAGGCATGGTGTGTCTGTGAGTATGGTCATGGAATCTACAGTACGAGCATATTCGAAGAGCAAGCAGCACTTTGATGTGGCATACAACCACAAGCCAGTTTTGAAGGCAGAGTGTAGGCACGGTTGCCTACACCTCAGGGTGTTCTTACTGTGGTTGAACAAGTGTCAACTGACACTGGGTGGTTTTTCTTTCCTCGTAGTAGAAATCGACAACACCCAATCAGTTTTAGTAACCTTTTTGTGTCTTAATACACAGCAGGTACCACATGGAGTACAGACAGCTCCACCAGAACCAGTAGCTGGCTGGTTCTGAGGAACCTCACTCCACAGGTAATGGTTTACAATCAGATGCTCTCTCTTATCCTTTCAGTATTTAGGACTCAGAGAATCAACTGTATCTGTCCACTTACTCTTTCTGTGGGCTTCATCCTTGTTTTTTAGATTGATGGTTCAACTCTGCGTACACTGTGCATGCAGCACGGCCCCCTCATCACATTCCACCTCAACCTGACACAGGGCAACGCTGTGGTGCGCTACAGCTCCAAGGATGAAGCTGCCAAGGCTCAGAAGTCCCTGCACATGTATGTCTATTAATGCATTGCTTCAAAGTGGAGTTTTAGGAGTGTTAACCATTACTCATCTACATTTTCCCTCTCATCTCTTGTCTAGGTGTGTGCTCGGGAACACCACCATCCTGGCAGAGTTTGCCGGGGAGGAGGAAGTGAACCGCTTCTTTGCACAGGGCCAGTCGCTCGGCGGAACAACCAGCTGGCAGGCCACTCCAGGCACCAATCAGACAAGGATGGGTGGAACCGGGTCCGGAGCCTCTCATCCCATCGGTCACTCACCCCACTGGAACAACAACAATGGCAGCAGCAGTAGCAGTGGCCTGGGAGCAGGCGGAGCAAAGACGGGCGGGGAGTTGCTTTGGGGTGGCGTACAGCAGTATTCTAGCCTGTGGGGACCCCCGAGTGGAGAGGAGGGACGGGTCATGGGGAGTCCCACCCCAATCAATACGCTGCTGCCTGGGGACCTGCTGAGTGGGGAGTCCATGTAGGACAGAAGAGCCCAGGACGAATTGATCACCAACAGGAGCAAAAACCTTTCAAATCAATGTGGAGATAATCAGTGTGGGTGTAACGGTGAAAAGGAGAGACGAGAGGAGGACGAGGCTACATCCTTGCTGCTCACCCTCGTCAACCTCCTCTACTCCTTTTGTTTTTAATGACATTTCAGTTGCAGTTATTTTGTGAATCTCAGCGAGAGATTTTGGTCACAGTGTTCAGCTTTTTCTTTTGGAGACACAGGAAGAAGTCTTTCATTCAACAAAGAACTTTTTACAGAGATGAACGTTTGAGAACTCGCAGTGTGAAACATGTACTTTAGTCAAACTGACACAATGACGAGCTGCCATCTTCTTTAAACTTGCGTAATCCCTCTCTGCCTTTTGAGGCAATCATACTGCACCTCAGAGATCCATGAAAAAGGCATCATTCCCAAAGTAAAACCCTTCAATCAGAGTGGTTGTCGAACTTTCAGCTGGTCCAGACTCGACATTTGTTTCTCTCAGCACTAATATTAGCCTTAACCTCTTTCCTGCCCTGCTATCCTCACTCACTCTGTACTTGGTGAAGAAGCATACGGACACTTGCACACCCTTATTTCTGAGCCAGTGAAACCTGAGTGGAGAGTACATGCTGCTGCTGCTTAACATAAGCAACCACAGCTCACAACTTCAGTGCATTTTTGCAAGCAGATTGAGTTCCTCAGTTCGCTCAAAGGGAATGATGCAACTCTGTTCGCCTTGTTCAAGCCATTTATTTTTGTAGTGTTTATTATTTTCTTTTTCTTCTGGAACCATTGCAAACAAAGCTAAGAAATGAAATTATTCAAATGTGTCTGTCAATCTTACCTGGTGGCGGGGATAGTTTTGGGGGTTGTCGCATGTACAGTTACGGACGTGACAGACGACAAAATGAACCACTGCTATTACTATGGAACTGTAAAGAAAAAACACTTCAATGCACCTCAACTCCTCTGCGGGCAACCTGCAGTTTGGTCTCAGTCTTTGACCCTCTCACTGATGTAGTGGAAAACCTCAAGTCGTAAATGTTTCCTAACCGTCTGTATTCAACGACCCCCACCACCCCCACCCCCACCCACTCCACCCGCAAAACACCATTTCAAGTGACGTGCAATATAAGCCACAGACTCTACCGTCCAAGCACCCTACCATGGCCTCTCTCAGAAAGAGAAGAGACTACAAGGAATGATTGAACTGCAAAAACTGTATCTGCCCCCACAACCCCAACCCTACCCACAAACTGCCACTACTACCCTTCAACCCCTCCCAAGAGTGTGTGAGCTCAGGAGAGTAGCAAGCTGGTCTTCAACCATCTTCAACCACAAGGACATACACACAAAGCACTTCTTCAACCAGCTCACTCTCCACACTTATGCCAGTGACTAGTTTTGGGAGAGAGGGAGAGACAGGTGTGTGTGTGTGTGCGTGTGTGTGTGTATGTGTGCGTGTGTGTGTGTGCGCGTGTGTGTGTGTGTGGAGGGGGGGGGGGGGGGGGGGGTATGAGTGCTTGATGAGAAGGCATCAAACCAAAATGAGAGGAGCCTGTTTCCCTTTTTGCCCAGAAGACCACATGACCCATGACCTTTTTTTTTTTTTCTTCTTTTGGCCCCAAATTTGCATCAGTAGAAGAGTATGAAGCAAAGATTTTGTGAATAGGTGGTCTATCATAGCACTTAGCAAGAGCATCGCAGCTCGTCGTACCCTCAATGCCAACGAATAGAAGAAAGGAGAAGCAACACTGGCAAATAAAAACTGAAAAACAAAGACAAAAAAGCAATCTGCTTAGTGGCTTCTCTGTATACTTATTTTTTAACTTAATATGGATGTGAAGATTTTTTTTTTTTTTTTTTTTTTTAAATTAAAATGGAAGTGAAAATTTTTTTTTTTTTTTTTTTTTCAATCCTTCTTCCCTCAAGTCAGTGGGACCAAGAAGGATTTCAAACATGGTAGCAAAGTGAAGGGAAATACAAAGAAAGAACTAACTCAACTGATGATGGGTGCAGTAGGGAAAGACCCCAAAGCACTCATCCTCACCCTCTTTATCAAAGTAAATATCACTGTTACATTGCATACTTTGAAATCTTTAGCCTTGGTGTCTGGAAAGCGCTCGACGTTTTTATGTTCTACTGGCTCCAGCAGGGAGGATCACCATCTCTTTCATCCTTTTTTTTTTTCCCTCTTCTTTCTATCTATTGGAGGCCCTGCCAACCTGTGTGATAGTGTGGCCACTGAGTGCCTGCCTGCTGCAGAGCGCAGTGCTCTGCGGCAGCCCTCACCCCTCCCTCCCTCTCGCTCGCTGCCTCCCTGCGGATCCCTACAGACTGGCTTCCCTCGTCTTACTCCCACACCCACCCCCCTGCCCCCTCACCGGGCCTCCAGGCCAAGAGCAGCTCTTTCAGAACTGGCCCACATGTATTAAATTTACTACTACTGCTGTGCCAGAGTCTGTCCTCAGCAACCTCCACTTCCAGTCTCTCTCTGTCTCTCTCCTGCAAGGATCACTTTAGCCAGAGATGGAGGCGTTTGATGTGTTTGTTTGTTTTTTTTCTTGGTTTCACTTATGGAATTGCCAGTGTGCATTTTTATTTTATTATTGTAAGAAGTTTGCTGATATTGTTGCTGTTATCATTGATGATATAGTTAATGATTGTTTTCTGATGATGATTTCATGGCTTTTTAACATTGGTCTTTATGCAGTGTTCAGCTTCTCTCCTGCCCCTCCCACTGCCTTAGAGGCAGGACCAGTGTGTAGTTTAGAGGTACGCCTCAGCCGTGCAGCAAGGCCATACAAAACACTGCAGATCTCAGTAGAAAAGCAAGGTCGGGGCGGTCTTTATGTTGGAGTCAGACAGGGGGTTTGAAGAGTCCAATCAAGTGGGAAAGGTTGTGTAGTCAAAGGTTCTCTCCAGGATGGTGAGCCGACTTCCTCCGTCCATCCTGGGGCACCAAACCTCTACTCTATGTTGTCTCATAACACACACTTTCTATAATGTTGATGCGCCTCACTCACACTGGTGCTTTATGTTTAACTCTGGGAGCACTCAGTTACGCTTAGAACCACCTCAACTGATAACAGCCTTCCATTTCTATGCAAAGACAAGGAGGTGTTCGTTCACAGCCATCTAGAAAATCACAGCCATCGCCCACATCTGCCAATCTTCACTTAATCTATCAACCTTTACTACCAGGCAGCTTCCCTTGAAACCCCCCCTCGATAAAGTGCAGGGGACACTGAAAGAGTCTTTCTTCAAGGGTTTGGTCTCCCACTGTGTGGACAGAGCTACTAGATGACACTAAATGACCTGCTGGAGGCACTAGTCGTTGGCAAACAGAGTCATTTCTTCAGTCTTGTGCCAACTGATCTTTCCAATATCTACTTCCACTTTGCCATATCCTAATTTATCTTTAGCGTGATGAGACTTCAGTTCCTTTTATTGCTGCAGGGGCGTACACCGCAAGCTCCAGCTGTAGGAGGCTTGAGGAGTAGAAGGGCAGGACAGATGAATGGTGCTGGTCTTTCACCAACAGGAGACTGGAAATTTAGTGGAGAATCAGGCTGCAGGAGGAGGAGGACGGGGTGGGGTGGTCCCTGTAAGTGTCTGTGCACTGTTTATGGGTCACATCGGGTACATCTCTTTAAAAACCAAAAACATTATCTTTTTCTTTATCATCAAGGTTTTTCGCAAAAACTAGAAACTACAAAAAAAAAAAAAAAAAGGTCTGTTTCAGCTGTGCACTTTGAGGCTGAGATGTCTGTGTTCTGTGTCTCTGCAAGCTGCCGCCTTCTCACCCCGTCAAGGCTCATTCTCTGGGCCACATCTGGGGAAGCTGTATCCAGGAGGTTCGTTTCGGATCTCCAACCGGAAGGTCACGCCAGCCGAAATATATAACAGGTCTTTTCTGCACATCTGGCTTTAGGGTCAGGGTCCAAGCAGGGACCCAACGTATCAGCAGAAACAGGGACAGACCTCAAGTTCGGTACCAAGTCTTAAAACTTAGGGGATACGCCCTCTTCCAGAGTTGCTTAAGACTCATGTCATTCAACAAAACAATCACTATTGCCTGTGTTGTTTGTTTGTGTGTTTGTTTGTTCCTGAAAACCTGCATTTACTCCACACTGGACTTGAATCAAGGAACTTCCGTTGAATTGGGGAGTTGAATGTGGAGTGGGGGGATGGGTGACTGGGATGGAGGTCGAGTCTCAGATGTGCCCTGGATTTCTTGGCGCAGCACCAGCACTGAGAGTCCCGCCCCCTCCCACACCCATCGCCTGCACCCTTATCTACCTGTCTAGTGTTGGAAATCGGATGCTCTCCCTTTTTTTTAAAAGTCACATCGACTCAAAGGCAACTGGAGCTCGAGCAAAATATGTTTCTCAGTCATGGATCAGACAAGGGTTCTGGGGCAGGGGCCTCAAAAACATTTAAATTAGAAAATCTCTTTAAAAAAAAAAACAAAAAAAAAAAAAACAAAGGCCTGGGTTGAATATGCACATGCTAGTTCATATACGGTATACAACCAAGAGTATATAATGGGTGTATGTGTGTATATGGCTAGATTTCTCTGTTTTCCACTTAGCCCAAGCCCTTTCCCCTCCCCTGCCCTGGCTTCAGCCCTTACCCTGTGTATCCTCCTCAACATTGTATTTCCCAGAAAACAAGATCATAAACATATCAGAGTAATACAAAATAATGAAAACAAATACTTGAATCAAAAGAAGCGCCAATAATGTAATGTGAACACTTTTTGTAGTGGTTTTTTTGTCTCATTCATACACTTCAGAGATTTTTGATAACATCGGTTCAGAGTGAATCAAATTTGAAATACGAGTGTTGTTGAAAACAAAGATCGATCTAAAGGCAAATTTACATCTGTTGTATTTGAGTGTTTGCACAAGGCTGCTTGTACTGTATGTTGTATGAATGTTTAGTGCGTGAGGTGAAAATATGTATGAGAGCTCGTGATTACAGCGGAGGAATTTCCGCCTCGTGTTTCTTTTCAATTCAGTATACTTATGTTGTTGATTTTGTTTTGTTTTTTTTTTTTTTCTTTTTGCTTGTCAAAAATATATTCTGATGTTAATTGTTACTAGCCTCTAGCGTTGCACTGAGTGTCGGCCTCACCCCTCATCCAGCTAAATGAACAACATGATACAAGTACTGAGGGGAGACGGGGACAGTTCATGTGTAAATGTTTACTCAAGGACTAAAATAAGTGTGTTTTTAAAATGTAATGTTTATCTACCTTAGTGGCTTTCATTGTGGAATAATCCAAGAAAGTATGGATCATAATTGAGTATTGCACCATTTTTCGGACTATAAACCTAAAAAAAAAAAACCAAGAAAACTAAAAAAAAAAAAAAATCACATATGTATAAAAAATGCAGCAAAAAAAGTATTTTGCAGACCTGTGGCCATAGATTGGGGTAGAAGGACTTCAGCTCTCCCAAATCTGAGCAACGGAGAGAGTGAAGGACAAGACATCAGACTGAGCCTTGGCTTCTAGGGCTCACTTCAGAGGTGCCTACCTTTTTGGTTTGTTAGCTTTCGTTCTGTTTTCACTTATGTTCGTTTCACTCATGTTGTCATTCGTTTTCCTGCAAGGCCACTGACAGTTTACAAACACTTTGTTTTTTTCTGGAGTTCAAAAAAATCTGCAACACAAAGGAATTAAACCATGGGAATGTTGGAAAAAAGAAAAAAAGGACACATGCTTCCATTTTTTTTAAAGAAAAAAAAGTGCAACACAGAATGAAGATTTATTGTGCTACTTTCAGAACTCTGGGATTGAACAGTGTTGTCTTGTTCTGTTTAACCTTCTTTGTTCGGTGTTAATGTTGATTTCATGGACTATCTCAAGCCTGTATGTTTTATGTTGATTATATATATTTTCCTTTATAGAAAAGAAAAGAAAAGAAAAGAAAAAAAGACATAATTGCTCACTATCTTGCACACACGAAAAAGTGGATCTTGTCTCAGGAAGGCCAGGGTTCCAGAGTACCAACTCCACGCCATTTTAATGTACATTTTTATGATGAGTAAAAAGAAAAGGATGATTTAAAAGAAACAATTTTAAGCACTGAAAGTTATGGATTTCAGAAGAAGAGAAAATACCTTTTGTTTCTAAATCCGTAGCAGTTACATAATAACCAAATAATGGACTTTAAATGAAAATGGAGTGCTTTATATATAAATCTATATATAAAAATTGCTTTACATTTAAAAACAAAAAATGGTCAATGATTTTGATTGTTGAAAAAAAAAAAAAGAAAGACGGTGAATAACATGCAAAATGCTGTATGTTTGAATCTTTATTGTGTTTTCTTAATGAGGTCCCGTCCTGACTGAATCAGGAACATTGTGCATTAATCTTTCTTTCCTCTTTCTCTCTCTCTCTCTCTCTTTCATTCTCCCACAGCGGGTATTATTAATAGATAAATCAGACTTTTGTGGAACTTTTCACATTTTGGAGGATGTTTGTAAAACATGAGCTGGTTGTAAAGGATCATGAAACTATGCACAAGTGTTGTGGGTGTGGGGGGGCGGAAGATGGGGATTTTTTATGGCCTACTTCTTAAGTGGCTGATCTATTGCAGGGGTTTTTGGGATCCAATGTGTTTTTTGTTTTGTTCTTGTTTTGTTTTGTTAAGGGGGTGGAGGGAAGGGGGGTGGAGAGGTGAGTGATGTCGAGCCCTCTGCCTCCAGCTTCCTTCCCCTGATTCAGATTGACCTAGCGCTACATCGCCATGCTGTGTATTCCTAAAACCAATGAGCGTCTCACTCTTTAGCACTGTGGGATTCTAGCCTATCACCCTCAAGGGTTTTTTTTTTTCTCAGTTGTAAAGGTTTTTTGGAGGGTGGGGTGGGGTATGGGATTAGGGCTTTTTTGTTTGTTTGTTTTTTTGCCTTTTTTGTTTTTGAAATATTAATTAAAAATGTCTGTACTGAGATTTAATGAGAAGTCAGTGGCTTGTAATGTTTTATTTTTTTCTCTCTGTATATCTCTTTCTCCTCATAGAATGTGATTGTTAAATGACATGCACCGAAACAAATGTTTTCATGAACTATGGAGCTTCTTTCAAATATTAATAAAATAGCATTTTTTTTCTTGGCTGTTAAAAAAATGTGCCTTTTGATTATTTGGTGCTCCACTCTCTGCGTTTGCTCCACCACACAGATCTTTCTTGTTTCCTGGGCAAAGGTTCACCATCAGTGCAGCATGTGTGCTGCTCTGCAACTCTCAGATCATATTTTTGCAGCAGAGTCATTTCCTGTATGTGTTTTCTGCACCATTAGGTCGATGGCAAAAGTCACGTCAGGCTCTGAGGGCAAGCTGCCTGGGACAGGCGTAATAGTTGTCCTGTGGCTGTCGGATGTTGGGGTTAGCGTACACAGGGAAGTTGTCTTCCTCCAGGTGTGAGGGGGCCTCATGGTTATTTTGGGGGATTCCTGCGCTCTGCTGCTTCCTGGTCATTTCCTCATAGATAGGAACAGGAGGCTGTGGTCTGTGATGACGCCTCGCCTTTACCTACAACACATTACATTGTCTTTCATTCATTATTCTTGGCTAGAATATGTTTATGTTCAGACTTCAGCACAATATTTTTGTATGTTTATGGACTCAAGCTCCAATATGTTTTTGCTACCTTCAACTTGGTGCTTTGGTATGGGGTTATATTTTTGAGCTGCTAATTTCAAAATACATAAAAACTTCTCTTCTGGAGGGCACTGCTTGGTCACTCAGCCAAACAAAAGGAAAAAAAAACAATTACAAACCTGGGGAAAATCTAAATGAATAAATGAATTTTTTTGGACAGGATGAAACAAATCCTGAACAGACGTCAGACTGAGACCTCTGTTCTAAATGACCCTAGATCTGACCACATGCACTGAACAACAGTCTTATGTCTTGGGATTTAAAAACTCAGTCAGTTGCAAACACTAAACAATACTGTGACGAGATTCCAAAATGTGCATTAAATACAGGAAACCACATACATTCACTGAAAACACTCAGCAGTGTCAACATAACCTCAGGCTTAGTGAAATATTCGATGAAGTGTAAATACTCACACATTTCTCTGCGGCCAGCCAGCCGAGTGTGAGCATAACAAGTCCTGCTGCTGCAAAGATGGTAAGGATCAGAGGGGGGTAGCTGGGCGAGCACTGGCATAGCCTCCCTGTACGACAAACACACACCAACACAGGTTCAAATCTGCACAGAGGTAGTTTGATTAAATTAAACTGCAGCAGAGTGTAATTATCATGAGATGTTTTAACCACATACCTGCTCCATCAACCAGCAAGAAAACCTTTTGAGCACTGAGGACGAGATCAGGGCTGAGCTCCTCTCCGTAGGTCAGTTCCCACATGTAGAGGCCTGTGTCACTGTGCTCTAAGTGGGATATGGTCACATTGACCTGCGGGGAGTCCAGTCCTCCACAGAGCTGCAGACGCCCCCTGTGTTCTGGGTTGACCCTGACTTCGCCATCCCCTGCAATGGAGAGCAGGGTGGTCTGGCTCTGGGAGCTGCGGTGGTACAGGTGGAGGCCCGTCGGGCAGCCGAGGTCCTGCTGAGGGGAGCAGGAGAGCTCCAGTGACTGGTTCTTTGTCAGACGCCTAAATATCACGTCTGCATGGGCTGGAAAAGAAAAAAATCAGTTTCAAGTTCTAGTAAAAGTTAGAATCCTACTTTGTAGATCCACTTTTTCCTCTCTAGTGGTGCCAGCGGGCTGAAAGTGTTGGTTAGTCAGATGTTTTGACTGCTGTTGGATGGATGGAGGTCAGCAGGTCAAAGTTTTTACTTATTCTGCGAATTGTTTCCACATCTACTGGATGGATTGATGCAAAATTCTGTAAACACGTTCATGGTCCCAAGAGGATGAATTGAATGATCTGACTTTTTCTCTAGCGCCGTCATCAGGTCGGAATTTCAGTTTGTTCAATACTTTGATTTATGACTAAATACTTTGTATTTAAGCTAAATTCTAGCAGTAAACAAGAATATTTACTGCTTAACATTTACAGCTATACAGCTTCACACTGCTAGCATGGATGTAACCGAAGCCACACAACTGTGGTCTGATGATCACCTCACAGTAAATTAAAACAAAAGGACAAATGTCCTTATCGTTTTTTAGTATTATAATAAATCAGTTGACATCAATTTGTTAGTGGTAAGTAAAATATGAATTTCTCTTACCTCCAAAGAGCTGAATGAAAATAAAGATGTTTGCCAAATTCATCTTCACAGCACTGCGATGCACCACAGCGAAGTCATAATGTACTCCTCCTATTTCCTTCAGCCCATGTGAGACTTTGTGGACACCCTTACTCTATTTATTGTTCTTCACTTCAAAGCAGGAAGACGACCTCAAAGCTACAACTGCAGTTTAAGTACTGTGGTTGGTCCTGTACACACTTAAGTTAGTAAGTTAAGTTAAACAAAGGTTAAAAATTAAACTCGCCTTCAGCGAGTATTTGTAAGTAATATAAACACTGTTCTAGCAATTCTTAAATTAAATTTTGTTTTGAGGGCTTTGTTGCACAGCTGTCTTCTGACTGATTTAACCATCAGATTATTATCTTATTGTGACTAAGAACACAATGCTGACTTTCATTCTGTGTCACCGGATATGTCAGAGACAGTCTGGTGGACAGTCAACAGTAGCAGACTGCGGTTTGATATATTGTCTAGTGTTTATAGTGTTGTATAGTGTCCTGTGACAGAACATAACAAGAATACAAGGATAGAAGATATGTATGTATGTTTATAATTAAGATAAGTTGAGGCACACAAACATGCTTACATCAGTGCATCAGTATATTCCCAAAATAAGATAAACATCTGTTTAGGTGACAAACGATGAGTTTTGTTTCTTAATTTGCTACAGTGAAAAACAAAGTCTACTTTTGGTTTTTGGTTTTTTTAGATACAGTTTTTAAACATATTGATGCAGCGCGGCACTTAGGTTTTACATTACATATAAATTTCCACAGAAACAAGCAATGGTTAGACTCATTCATATATACTATGAAATATGTGTAAATTTCTAAATGTGTATATCTAGGGAAATCCCCTTTGTGTCAGCCTTTTAACTGAAAGAGACTCTGGACCTAATTGTCAGCTGATTGGTAGGTAACTGGACTCAGGTGTGCAGTGTTGCTCTGACGAGGCTGCTTGTTTGCGTAAAGCCTCAAATGCTCCACTGCTCAGACTGCCTTGCTGCCTTGTGGGTCAGAGAAGAGCTTTTTGCAGCCTGAGCCTGTTTGCTGTTTTGAGAGACATTGATGGCGACCTTGGTTTTCGGGGTTAAACTCCTCGTCGTGCTCTTTCTGTCAGGAGTCTGTCTTCGATCATCTTCTGCGTTTCCACCAGCACAATACACACAACATGCTTTGTCTGAAAGACCTCAGCTCGCACAGCTCGAGAGCTCCAAACACGCTGCACCTGAGCAACAGAAGGCCCCAGCTGAGGAACGGGAGCAGGTGAATACTGTCGGGGTGACCTGTCACCCAGACTCCATGGAGATTGTGATAAAAGCTGACATGTTTGGAGTTGGTGCTCCTGTTAACAGCTATGAGTTACGCCTTGGAGTGGAGCACAATGATTTCTGTAGGGCTACAGCGTCTTCAGGAGACGAGTATAGAATCATTGTTGGACTCATGGACTGCGGCACCAAACACTGGGTAATGGTGAATTTACTGTATTTCAGACAATACAATACATTACAGCTTCTGCTTCTAAAAATAAAAAAACTCTCATCCACAGATGACTGAGGACTCTCTGGTCTACACGAATCTCCTCATATACTCTCCTGTGGCCTCTACTGATGGGCTGATTCGAATGGATGAGGCTGTAGTTCCAATTGAGTGTTATTATGAAAGGTCAGTCTGCCTTCTTAAAGTTAATCTTTAAAGATTGGTGGGTAATGACTACTGATAAAATAAAAACTGTAAAATACTTGTTCTGTTTCCTTAGGAGGTACAGTTTGTCCAGTTCTTCACTCACACCTACCTGGATCCCCTTCATGTCTACTCAAGCTGCAGTGGAAACCTTGGAGTTCGACCTGAAAATTATGACAAGTGGGTCTCGGTCACTTCTCATCGTGTAGTTTGTTTTATTTACTCTTACTACGTCTTGATTTTTGTGCAGATGACTGGCAATATGAAAGAAGCTCTAACGTGTTTTACCTCGGTGAGCCCATCAGCATCGAGGCCTCTGTCAGAGTTGGACATCACATGGGCCTCCGGGTGTTTGTGAGCAGCTGTGTGGCTACACTTAGCCCAGACATATACTCTGTTCCCAGATATGTCTTTGTTGAAAATGGGTAAGTACTTAAAACATTTTGTAAGCTGCAACTTCATATTAATTGAAGGAGGAACTCCATAAATCAGTCTGTTTACAGGTCTACGGCCCACTACTGCATATCTGAGAAGTTTGGAAGAAAGCTTTTTGTGGTAGTGTCGGTTAAATCTGAAGACTGAAAGTTAGGAAATGAGAAATCTGGCAGTGTGGTGTTAGATGTGAACATAACAGATCTCTGTAATCCGCCCCACGCCTGTCTGAGGCTACCGGCTGAGAGCAGTAACCACAGAGTGAAGCTGAGAGGTTTTCAGGCTCTTGGCTGAAATGTCCCTGAGTTGTAAAACCTTAACTTTATGCCTTTTCTGGCTGTTTGTCAGTTCTGGCTGTGCTGCATTGTTTTGTTTTTGTGTGTACCCTTGACATGTGTACTGTAGTCTTGACTTATCCTTCATTTCATAGATGCTTGGTTGACTCCCAACTTCTTGGTTCAAAGTCCTACTTCTTATCCAGAACACAAGATGACAAGCTCCGCTTGGTCATCGATGCCTTTAGGTTTCATAATGAGGACAGAGGAGAGGTGAGTGGTGTTTTGTTTTTTTTTTTTTTTTTTTTTTTTTTTTGTTTTTTTTTTTTTTTTTAAATTATGATTGCAGTTTTTGCTTTTAACTTTTTTCTTTTTTTTTTTTTTTTTTTTTTTTTTTTTTTTTAATTTTTTTTTTTTTTTTTTTTTTTCTTTTTTTTTTTCTTCTTACAGCTCTACATCACATGTCACCTGACTGCTGTACCAGTTAATGATGCAGAGGCACCAAATAAGGCCTGCACTCTTGTAAATGGAAGGCAAGTGTTATCCAGTGTGAAATGTCAAATTACACTCAAACATGTGTGCTGAAAAATATCCATCTTTTTCAGATGGCGGTCAGCTGACGGCAATGACTACCTATGTGGATATTGTCAAAGCCAAAATGAAGTTGTGCCAACCCACAGTAAGCCCAGCAGTAGCCCTGGCAAGTTTGGCCCTCGTGGGTTTGGGAAGCCAGAACAACCTGAAGCCTTATGGAGAAGTGGACTGAAGACCAATACAGGTGAGATTTCTTAAAGAAACTAAACAGCTTATGATGAATTATCACCACTAGATGTCAGGCTTTACATAAGGCTTTGGACTTGTAGTAACTGTAAAAATGTATCATGTTAGTGTGGGAGCAGGAGGCAAGTGTGGGTCCAATGCTGGTCTTGCCAGCTAAACAGAAGAGTGGGCCTCTACCTGTGGAAGAGCTCCCTCCTGTTCTCAATAAAATCAGCAGACCTTCCCTCTACGGCAGCCAGTGGAGAAGTGGAATGAACAATAGAGTTGGTAAGTAAACCTCTAAAATCAGCACAAGTCACTTATCTTAGATTTTTGCTGTCTCATGATTTTGGCCTTTTTTTTTTTTTTTTTTTTTTTTTTTCCTCCTAAAATAAATCCTAGATCTGGAGAAGGGATTGCTTTCTGGTCCGTCTACACCTAACCTGGAGGAGGATGATGTCGAAAGTGAAACGGATCTAACAGGTAACGTGAGGAAAGACTTGACATCTTTAAATTTTCACTTCTGAGATGTAATGACTTGTTTCTCTCATTGCAGACAGAGATGAAGAAAAAGTTGCTGCACCGCTAGAAAAGGTGGCTCCTGATGTCACATTGAAATCAAAGTCTGCAGCACTGGACAAAAACACCACAGCAGCCCCCAGTGACATCAGCCCTGCCACTCAGGTTAAGCTGGATGTGACTTTACTGTCAAATGCAACTGCTACAGAATCTGACCTTTCAGAAACAAATGACCCAAAGAGATAATAAAATGACTTCAACTAAGCTTGTGTTTGATTTGACTGCACAGAAGACATGAACAGCAGTATATAAAGTTGTTGCTTCTCTGGTAGTTAAAGTTGATGCTGCAGTAGGGATGCAGAACACCAGTTGTCCCAAATTAATATATTCTAGATGTTGCATACCAATCATCATATATGCTTTTAGCTATTAATATAAATTAAACATTTTATACTAAATGATGCTCACTGTCCCAAAATCCACACAACTACATATGATTTAGCTGGTTAGTGTGTTCACACTGGGGGGGGGGGGCTCAAACTAGACAACATGTGTACTACTATGCTGTTGCTTCATTGAATAAATGGGAGAAGGTGCTAAAAGAATCTTTAAAACAAACTGGGGGGAGGCTCCAAATAAAGCTGGGAAAGTTATTAAAACTTTTTTTTTTTTTTTTTTTTTTTTTTTTTTCCCAAAAGTTTAACTTTAATTCCATGTCACAAGTGACAACTACACCAAAATCTAGAAGCACACTGACCCTAAAACAAATGAGAAACATGGCCCCCTGCAGGAGGACTGCTGTTCTTGTCATGGCTGCAATCTTGGTGGAGCTGACAGTGTTGTTCATGACTGATTTCAGAACTGGATTTTAAATTTTCGCTTGGTCTGAAGTATGAGTAGAGTTAATATGATTAGTCAGACCATACCACTATGATTGGCAGTAACAATTGAATGATTATCTTACAGCTACATGGGGTGTCTCAAACTGGGATTCAAAGTAATTTTCCATATGTAGGTTTCCAAAAAATCTGATCAAACATGAAATGTGGAATGGAAGTGGAAACTTTTTTACATCGTATACAGTCGAGAGTTGTTGGTTTGGTTCATATAGATCACAGCTGAACACAGCTGTTTTATGGGACATATCTCAAATACCAAATATACCAAAATGTGCTTTTTCAGTGGCCTCCAGAGTTTTGTGACAGAAAAAAAAGTTAGTTTGGGTAAATGCAGTGATTCAGAGATCATAGCATCCTGTGAGTGTGTGATCATAACTCTGTGCTACAGTTGCCTATAATCTGTTTCATTTTTCATATTTCCTGTATCCGTTTCCTTGCTGACATACACCAACCCTTTTTAAGGAAAATCAACAAAATCTTTAAAGTGAAAAAAATGTACCAGATATGACAACATTGCCGACAATAAGGTAAAATGGGGCAACAATTAGAGTAACAATCAATTTCAGTAGCTGTTAATTCCATAACAAATGAGCAGCTTCTTCCTACTCTGCCACAACATTTAATGAGTAAGTGCCTCCAGCTGTCCTCTCCAGGTGATTTGATTGGGCTGAACTGGGAAGTGTTTGAGGTGCTGGGAGGATTATCTGGAACCTTTGAATCTTCTGCATCTTATTTAAAATACTGCATCATTTCATCAGTATCTGTCTTCCTGACAGGGCTCAAGCAGGAGGTTGTTCTGTGCTTCACATTTCCAAAAAGTCTCCTGCTGTTATGAGAAAAGAGCACAATGGTGATCGCAGGTCAGGCAGCCTCTCTGGCGCTGCTGTTATTATTTGCTGTTGCCGATTCCATTCGAGTTTTAAAAGATGGACCCATGATTGATGCTGAAGGAAGGGAATTTAAATCTGCTGCAGTGAGAACTGATGCAGATGGCTCTGCTATTCGTGTACAATGCACAGAAGTGTCCATGATCATTGTGGTAAATGCTGACTTTTATAGAACGGGGCGTCTTGTTTCTGCTGGAGACCTTTTTCTGGGAGAAGCCAGGCATTCGGAGAGCAGTCAGTGCCGAGCTGTTGCTGTTAGTGACACTGAATATGTCATTGAAGCTGGACTGCAAAACTGTGGCTCCAATTTAAGTGTAAGTTGTTGATGCTTGTTCGTGCCGCAGTAATGGATTTGTCTGTGGCTGGTTCTGTGACAATCTTGATTTGCTGCTTTTCTGAAAGTTGTTTTTTTATGCTGTATAAAAATATTAATCTATAGATATCCGAGGATTCTGTGACCTACTCGAACAAGCTGATTTTCTCACCAGCTGCCAGTTACCATGGCATTACAAGGCTGACCCCTGCTGTAGTCCCTGTTTCCTGTCATTATAAAAGGTAAAATTTCATTGTTTTATACACTGAGGACATTTTTGCTATTTCATAATGGCTGACTTGTTAACTTTATGGAACAGGACACATTTTGTGAGCAGTAATTCTCAGCATCAGCCCCTGACCCTCTCCACTTCTGCACAGTATCCAACAGAGCAGTTCATTTTCTCCTTGAAGCTTATGACTGGTACGTGTGTGGACTCTAACAGCTGAGGCCCTTATGGCTTTTACTGATGAATATGCATGTAGTGATGTTGTCATCTACATGTAGATGACTGGACAAGTGAGATGCTCCCTAGTGTCTTCTACCTTGGAGACCTCCTGCACCTCGAGGCATCTTACACTGGTCCAGATGCAAGACAAAGACGACTCTTCATCGACAGCTGTGTGGCCACTCTGTCACCTGACGTAACATCAGTCCCCAGATATTACTTCATTGAAAACTATGGGTAAGAGCAGCTCAGTCTACATTATCAAATCATAAAATGGCCTTTTTTTCCATGAGGAAGTGTAATATAGTAGACCGTAAGTGAAGTACAGTTACAGGTGTGGCCCAAATGGCACATACACCTGGAACTGAACAACAGACCTTTGTCATCTGATCTGTCAGGTGTGTCACTGACGCAAAAGAGGGAGGATCAAACACACTGTTCAAACCCAGAACGAGGTCTGATTCGCTTCAACTGCAGCTTGATGCTTTCCTGTTTCACCTTGATCCAAGGAACTCAGTGAGCCACTTATAACCTGCATGATATTAAATGTTTGGAAATGCTACAAAGTTTTATAATGACATTTCAGTGATCTCATCTTTTTTTTTTTTAGATATTTATCACTTGCCAACTGAAAGTTACATCTGAAATGTGGAAGAGCAGCCCTATCAACAAGGCCTGTAATTACATACATTCAAGGTGATTTTTTTTAAATGTATTTTTTTTTCTTTATGTGTATTGTAGCAGAGGAACAACTCCTTACGTTACCATACAAAGCCTTTTACAAGTGTAATATGAACTTCATACTACTCTTGACTTTTAATCGAACATTTACAAAAACACATCGTCAAAACATGTTAAAATCCAGAAGACACATCTCAAGTCAAATTTTAAGTGTAAATATTTGCTTAAAGATGGAAGAATAGGTTTAATCCATCACAATATGTTATAAATCACACTAGGTACAACTTCAGAGACCAGAAAACTGCCTTAATCCCACTACATGCACATGTTTATATGATTAATCTGACTCACTGCAGGTAAAATGTGCAACTACAAAAACCAAACCTATGTTTTAATAAATGTAGGTAAATATTACTGGTTCACTGGAGTGGTGGGATGTGTTTTTTTGATTTTGATGGCCTTGCATTTAAGATCACACACCTGCACCAAACTGTGAGTCAGTGCATTGTTGTCAAAATTACAAATTAGTTGAATTAAGGGTTTTACAAAAACAATGTAAAGTACCCAAAGTAATTATCAATGAACCTAAAAACCAATTTATACCTAGATTAGCCATTATTTCTCTGCACACTTTAAATTGAGAGAAAACCTTGACAGACACAGAAACTATAACTTGTATGTTTAGTAATGAAAAGGTATGAGTGCGTACAACAACAGTACATGTGTAAGACAAAATATACTAAACTGAAGTATTCTCTTCAGATGGAAAGATGTGGATGGGAATGTTGGGGTGTGTCAGTGTTGTGACAGTATCTGTCACCAAAGATCAACCAAAGGTAAGTATGCTCTCTGAGCAGATGCAGATGAGATCAAAGTGTTTCATTAGTAGTACGATACCTTGTTTAAATGATCTGTTGGGTCTATGTGCAGAAGTGTCCAACTAATAATTGTAAAAAACATTTTGACTGTTTCAGATATGATGGTTTGTGGCACTGTGACTCTAGGCCCTTTGATGATTTTCCCCAACAAGTAAACCAAGAACACACATCTGGACAATAAACAAACTTTCAGAGCCTTATTTCACATTAAACATTAAAATTATGTAATGATTTAATTGCCCAGTTGTGAGTGGTATGATTTATGAATCATTGGAATTGTTTTAATAAGTTTCCTAGAACAATTATCATTACATCATTATCATTACACTATTTCAATAAGAGCAAGCATTTAAAAAAGTCTCCTTATGGCTGTTTACAAAACAGTTTTTTTCATTTTGTAGTCTGTGAATGAGCAGTGAGCAGAAAGGTGAAATTCTTAACCCAGTCCTCTTTGGACTGTGGGAGGAGGCTGGAGTACACAGAGAGAACCCATGCATAAATCATTGTATAGTAAGGCATAAAAACATCATAGTATAGTAAGGTATTAAAAAGTCATAATATGGTATATAATATAGTATGCATATAATATATATCCTCTTAGGTGACACATGTGGTAACATCACTCTTGATATTAATGACATATGTCCCTATATGTCATAAGTCATAGTATAGTAAGGCATAAAAAAAGTCATAGTGTAGTAAGTCATGAAAAAGCCATAAAGGATTGCCTTAATAAATGTGTTTGTGGTTAAGCAGTTGCAATGACAAAATGTCAGAGGGGGGGGGGGGAGAACATGTTGTACTTTGCTCAACACTGCAGCTACAAGACCAGGAAGTTGGGTGTTGAACACAGTCTGCCTACAAGATTACAATACAGTAAGTAGTACACGGTAAGTGCAATGAGTTATCTAAGATATGAAATCTCAAAAAAGTTTTTTGTGGCTTTGTTTGATTTATCTTATTTCATAAATAACCCTAAAACAAAAGAGCCCATTGTTGTTTTTCAAAGTGCAATGTTACATTACAGTAGATGTAGAGACTAAACCAAGCTGTGGACTTACGCAGATAAAACATCAATCCATGAGTGAATTTATTATCTAGTCGGTGGCAACAACTGGAAATTTGTCTTAGCCTGTAGCTTAAATGCAGTATTACATTATCTAACTTCTGTCACACTGGGTCTATTTAATGTGAAACCAGTTACAACTCAGAGACACACCCAAGTGAAAGATAAGATTTATGAAATAAGTTTACCCAAAGGTGGTTTCCATGGTTTGTGTGTCAAGTTTTTATTTTGGCTGCAAATATTTATCAAGAATTCAATAATTTGAGACAATTACATATGAGTCCGGAGAAACTGATGATTCAGGAAGAGACACACCCAGGTAAAATGGGTTTAGCTCAAAGGATTAAAAGCAATAGACCAGTACAGGGTGTAGTTTGCAGGGTGCAGAAATGTGTTGATGCTCTGGTTAGTCCAATTACATATTTTTTACTTACTTTTCCAAGTGTAAGCCTTGTGAAAATCAAGCAAATTAAACATTTTACATAGTGTTTTTTTCCCTTTCAACAGGAAATGATCCATTAAATTAGTTCAGCCAATTCAAATAAAATTCAAAGTGAATGTCTCGTCTGCTCTGAAACAGAAATCATAAAATTTCACACAAATGGTTAATATTTTATATGACTCTGAATAAACAGGGATGTAACCTGAAACTAGTCTGAGTGGCGGAGGAAGACAACCGCGAGGCTAGGTGTTTTTTTAACTTTATTAACAACACAACACCAAGCAGTCATTGCGTCACTGAACTAGCAAATTGCGAGACAGAAAAATGTCAAGGAAATGGTCCACAATCATTGGATGTCAGCAAGACAATATATCATTGCACAGCCTTCCTAAGGATAATAATTTTAGAGTCTGTTTAGCTCATTTCAGCACCGATTGACTATCGCCATTTGTATTTACTTGTGAGTTTTACCAAGTAACATTAACTGGCTACATTCAATGGTTGGTCAACCATTGAAGAAGAAGAGAGGCTCAGAAATGGACGCAAAATGCCCTGTACATGGTAGAGGGTTAGGGTTGACCCTAACCAGAGAGAAGAGTGAGAGAGAGGATGTGAAAACTATATGGAGATGGTTTTTATGCCTTCTCGCAGGCAACAGCCAGAATCTGAAGCAATATGTTTTTTGGTTGTCTGTCTGTCCATACATACACCCCTCCATCCAATTCTCGTGAACACAATATCTCAGTAATGGTGGTCAAAGGTCAAGGTCACATTGACCTCACAAAATGTGGGTTTGGCCTTGTTAACCCGATATCTCAGTAATGCCTTAGGGATTTTCGTCATTTTTTTTGCACAAATGTCCACTTGGACTCAAGGATAAACTGATTACATTTTGGTGGTCAAAGGTCAAGGTCGCAGTGACCGCACAAAACACAGTTTTGGCCTCTTGAATGTTGTATCTCAAGACCACCTTGAGGAAATTTGTTTAGATTTGGCAGCCTTAGCAGAGACTTGGTCTCAAAGATGAACTTATTAGATTTTGATGCACAGGTCAAAGTTAAAGGTCACAGTGATTCCACATTATTATGAGTGCAATTTATCAGGAATGCCTGGAGGGAATTTCACTACTTCTGGCACAGTGTGACCTCACAAAACATGTTTTTGGCCAAACTCACAAACTCATATGCTTATTATTATGCAATTAAACTCAAATGACTATGCGGATAAAATTAGGTGATAACATTTTATATCCAAAGGTCAAAGGTCAACTTCACTGTGACATCATAACGTTCTGCAAAAATACCTCTGGCCATTATTCAATGCTGTAACTCGGGAAGGGGCGATTGTGACCATGTTTCCTGCAGCTTGGCTGGTTGGCGGAGGCATACAACCACTTATTCTGGTTGGTACTTAAAACCACAAATATATCTTCCTATGGATATCAAAACTTCAAATAAAACACTGGAAAAGTGTAAAGTATGGGACCTAATTTGTTTACCAAACACTATATTAAAAAGTGACAATAATCTGTGCACTAACCTGTAACTTAATTTCCTCCTGCTACAGTAGCTTGACACCATGTGTGCATGACTTATAAATTCAATTAGATGAATTACAAATTTTCTCGTCACATTTGCAAGGTTCCATATATTAAAACCAATGAACCAAAATTATATAAATGCTTAAAATAGCACAACAATTATGTAAAATTAAAATGGCTTAAGAAATAAACATGGACTACATTGACAATTAACAAATTCTTAATTATGATTTTGAATACAAGTAACTTTCAAACACAAGAATGTTAAGAAGCAAAAGTGTGCTAACACTGCTTTGTCACCAACACAGAAAGGCTGATACACAATCAACAATGATGGAAGTGCTCTAGTTTTGTGCTGCAGATGGTAAGTGTGATTTGTATAGTATGTATGTATGTATGCACATGTTAATGATTCACAAAACAAAATTACAAGCTTTAACAAACATTAAAGCTTAGTTTTTTAACTATCCTTAGGAATATCCATAAAAATGGAAAGTAGATCCTCAGAGATGGGTGAGTATGAAATGTTGCGCTACATCAGTACATATAGGTTACAATACAGAATTAATTCTCTAAAAGCTGTCAAATAATGTTGATTTAACAAATTTACCAATGCTAATGCAGTGTCTTGTGTGTCAATGTAAATCTATCACAAAACATTTTTGTATAATGATGTTACTTACAACATACTGTAAGAGTATTTCAGTACTAATTATTATAACAAAACATTATACAAGACGATACTGTGATGGGATTAATTGTTTTGGACTGCACTTACAGGTACACTGAAATCTGCAACTTTTCTATTGTTTCTTCACACTTGTGAACCTAGATGGTCCTTTTTCCAGTTACAGCACATGTAGTTGAAATGTGGACCACATGGATATTACATATTAGATTGGGTGTTTAAAGAGTACACCCAGACACAGAATTCTACATGCACTACCATAAAGCAGTTCTCATGCTCTTATCCACACATTGTGCTCAACTACACATCACAGTGGCCGATGTCCCTTATACAACATAGTCATAAGTGCAACATACTTGAATATTTTAAACCATAGAGGTCAGTGCAGCTGCTGCACAATAAGAATAATTAACAGTACCAAACAAACACACACAAATCTCAGTAGCAGCTATCCATGCATTGCCAGATACCAATAATTGTGAAAATGCATCTTTTATACCTTTTTTTAATACAGTAATTTGCATTGACCCTTTAAACACAGACATAGTCCAAACACCTACTTTACAATACAAAACAACTTTTATGTCAGTATTATGTACCAACAGTCTACCACTGTGTGTTGCAACAGTATAACATCTTGAATACTTCATATACTGTGTAATTACAGATCTCCATCACAGTAAAACCGAAAAGATGCATTTAAGTGCTATTTTATGCCAGTTATTTTGTCATTTTGTTCCACAGAATGGCGTGAACTGTCCTATGACAGGTGGACAGAATCTCACGTGAGCTCCTGGTTGAGATACATTGGAATAAAAGAAATTTACATTAAAAAGCTGGAGGAGGAGGAGGTGACAGGACCAGTTCTCACAACTCTACGGAGTAAATTCCTCAGCACTACCATTGGAATGAAAAGTGGCCAAATTGAGCATCTGCTGAAGAAAAGAGATGAGCTCCTAAAGTCAGAAGAGCAGAAAATAAAAAATCGAAGTGGTTTGTGTGGTAAAGGTAGAGATGAAAAGAAAGAAAATATGTTTGTTTCAGGACAAGAACCCAAACTTTGTTCACAAGAACCTTGTGACAGAGTGGAGACAGGGAATATTCCCATAACATGTTGTGAAAACTCAACCTCTACAGACGAAGCATTGTCTTTCTGTGAATTTAAGAAATTTGATCAGTATGAAAAGGACTGCAGGTATGTAAAGCACAATGTGTTTCCACCAGAGACAGGAGTTGAAAACATGATTGTTCCATGTCATGAATATAAGTCCCTGGAGACTGCACACACACTAGACTCAACAAGGCTACAAACAAAAGTAGCATATGAGGT